GCCCTACTTCTTTTTGCTCGTACTTCTATGGTTTGGGCGGCAGTATAAGTCAGAACATGAGGCCGATGGTGAATTTTAAATGGTGCCTGTTGTATACCTGCAGACTACACAGAGAAATTTTACATTACAATGTAAATTACATGTACATGCACAGAGCACAACAGACTGAATGGACATGTACATTTACAATGAAGACATCTGGAAGCGAGTACCAACATCTCAAAAACACATACGTGTAAGAGAGGTACAGTATATCTAACACAAATGAAAATTAGCTGGTGTGGGATTTTTTTTTTAACAAACTCACATCCACGTTCACGCTTGCATTTCACAAGTCATGAAAATTATTTCCCACTTGTGTGGAAAGGCGTGAAATGTCTTCCCCACTTGTGACAAAATCTGTGAATGTTTTTTCCCCACTCGGGAGAAAATTTGTGAAAAGCTTTTCCCACTTGGGGGAAAAGTTGTTCACGTTTTGTGAAACGAAACTGAATTCCGAGGGGAAAAGATAAAGTGTGAAGAGAATTTCCCATTGCCGGGTTAACATCCAGTTGCAATGTAGTGGATGTTTCGTGTTTCGACATTCGTCTCAAGTCGGAACCTTAGGAACCAACGTAATTTTACTCTAGTATCATCACATTTCAAGGCATCTTTCACACCATAAGCTATTAGTATGCTTCCCCCTTTTCATTATGCTGTGAATGGCTCTAAGATATTTTTACAAGCCAGCAGAGGGACATGTGAATTTTTTAAGCCATGACTTTGAAGCCTCTTCTGCTTTTCCACCGTGCACAAACCCTGGAGGATGATCCATGTACTTGTAGCTCTTCTTATTTGGATGGCAAGACAAAAACACAGTAACGGGGCCAGTAAGGTACCATCACATTCACAGAGTTTGCCAGATTTATTTTTCACATTTTTGCCTATAATAACAATCTCAGTGTGAAGGTTTATAATTGGATTGAGACCAGAGAATGATCTCGATTTTACATTTAATAAAAAATCAATGTCCATGTTTATTTCGAAACTAACAGGTAAATTTTGTTCTGTCCATTCGTATAAAGCACAAAATGTTTTGAGTGCTGAAACACTTGCAGATTTTTATAATTGGGTTGGTGTAGTGGTTCTCTTATTTCCTCACCTTCCACCTCTGCAGTCTAGGTTCAATTCCCGGCTCAGTCCACATGTGGATTGGGTCTCCAATCCCTACCTGATTCCATACAGTTTACCCGGAATATTCCTCCCACTTCTAAAACTGCTTCTCATTGTCTCCTCTCTACAGGTTTCTTCAGGCTTGCGAGCTACAGTGCCTAGGGTGCTTTTGAGGAATTCTTGGTGTCATTGCCAGAAACAAATAATAATAACCACAGGGAAAACACTGGTAAAGTCACTAGCCCACCTTAGTGTGTAGTGTGTCACATGTGTTACTGAATGCTGATGATTACAAACTAGATTACTTGGAACAAGAATGAGTTATACCCCTATAAAAGTGGAGGAAAATAAGGAGACAGCTCTTTGGGGTTTAAGTGTGGTTTTGTGGTTTTTTTGGGGGGGGAAATCTTAAAATTCCACAAGCTGTCGTAGTTCTCAAAACCAGAGATGACGCTGCCTTGATGTCAGGTCAGCGTTGTAATCGGGTCCTTTGCACGTCTTCTCACTCGTCACACAGATCGTGGTTTGACTTAAGACTGCACAACTTGTGGTGGACTTGCAAGAACTTGCCAGGACTTGCGATGGTTTCCACTATAAAACACTATCACTTCAGGCCAAAACCCCAGCACTGAAGGGTATGCAGGATGAAGTAGCATTCACACCCGCGGTATAGTGGGGAATGACAGAAACAACAGGCTAAAGAAACAAAGATTGAATTATCAGGCTTAAAGTCAATACTTCTACGCCTGAATTTCACATCAAATTTAGAGGAAAAGCTGTACAGAAAAATGGGCACGAGGTGTTAATACACATCTGCAAGTATGCGAACATGTCAGCATACAATGATCATTCCTAACTCCCTGAGTGTGTGCAAACCCAACCAAGACTGGAGGATTCAGGATCCCTGGGTTTAATGAATATGTTACTTCAATGTCCAAACAACATCTGGCCCGTAACCCCTCACAACCATTAAAAATGTGTAGGAACCACACACACAGTACAACCACCACTCTTCCAAACTGTTTCTTGGCAAAAGAAATTCAGAAAAATGGTTCCCGAAACCTTCTTTTTGCTCTGCTCTCATCATCCAATCCAAATCTGGACTTCAGGTTCCAGCAGTCAGTCACCACTTTCACCAAATGGTAAATATTTACAAATTTTGGCTAGAGAACTGAGCTACTGGTGGGAGAAAAACATGTCCTTGGTCCAATGTGACAGAAGTTCCAGTATGTGGCCACAAAATGTGCATGTACCTTAGCCGAAACACTCTTTATCTTTCAAATATTACCTGCAAGAACCCTAGATTCTCCATATTTATCACAACTAGAAAGTAAAATTTCACTGAGAGGAGTCTGTGACATTTTGGACAATAAATATTTGTTTCAACCCTTCGTCTCTCCCACTACCTTTCACTCATGTTCTGGTTTATTTGCTCAATGCCTGAATAAAGTAATTTATACCGTTATTCTTCAGAGTAAATTATCCATTCTTCTGGTTGAGTAAATATAATATTTTGACTCTTCAAATGTTCCCCATCAGACAAATGTTATGATGTTTGTGACCTGCGCCCTGTAGCCAGCCAAATGGTGGCAATTAATGATAGAGCAAGAATGTCCGCTTACTATCAATATTTCTATTGGTGGAGAAGGCTGGCGGCTTGATTTGTGACTTGGAATGCAGTGCGTAAACAATTCAGAGAAAATTTCGTCAGAAAGCAGTCATCTGCATTTGAGCAACAGGAACTCCTGATGCCTCCCAGTCAAGAAATGCTTTATCATTTTACAAGGCAATAATATAAATCAATATTCCGTTACTGTTTTAATTTCAATCAGGGTTGCACCTAAATGAATACAAAAAGTTGCCACAGACAAAATGTGTCAATCTTCATGAGAACAATTTTGATAAATATTAGCTGGCTATGAACCGATCTTTTACTTCAACAGCATGAGATGAACATTCCTGTTTTAGAGTTAGACAAGGTTCAAAATACCAATCGTATCCCTGGCCAAAACCCACGTCCCACCAGCATCTGAAACTCTGGTCACACCCTGATTCCCAACCCAGCCCTTGACCCCTGACATACATGTACCCTGTCCCTTCCCTGCCGCCAGCCAACGCCAACAAGCCCGATCACCAAACTGAAAGCCTCAAATCGTTTTCAGACCAACTGTTACATAGACGTGTAAATCAGAGCATGAACTGTAGAGGGCACTCTGTCTCCTTCTCAAGGGAGTGAAGTGCAAGCACTTTGTATATAAATGTACAGGTACATGTATGCCTATCGATGGCCATGGATGAACAGTCAGGCTCTTATCCAGAGCCTTAAAATAGGGCCAAAAAGCATTTGTTAATATATGGTACCTGATTGGGGTCTGAAATTGAACAAATGCTTGACATTAAAAGCCTGAAATCTGGCTTTTGTCTAAAAACTAGCATCCTTGAAAGTGAAGGCCATTTATGGTCATGTTTTTCGACCAAATGTGCCCCAAAAAATAACTTTATGAAGAAGAATGATGCGCCCAATGTACTGCACTGGTACATATGTCAAGAAATTTGCATTTTGAACATGACAAGGCCTGCACATGTGCATGTGTATGCAGGCAATGAAACGTGCAGCAATGCAGACGAATCCTTCCCCCCCCACGGATTGTGCTACGGTAGCTTGTAAGGTTGAAACGCCTCACAGGTTTGTGTTAATTGCTACAAAAGTTTCTGGGCCTGCAACCGAGCGAGAAGCCTAAATCAATCGCCCAGGCAGACAGTGGAGAGACCCCGGGGGATGGGGGGAGTCCGGGGGGAAAAGCCCAGCTAAGAATGCTGATGCCCACAAATGCTGGGATTTCTAGGGGTTTAAAATGCTCGAAAGTCACACTTGGCGAGCAAGGTATTCAGGCAATCACCGGATCAGATCCCGGGAGCAAAGCCTGACTTCACTCCGGTGCAAAACATCTGTGCATTAACGGTAGACATCCAAGGAACGCCTAGGGCGGGCAACCTTGAGACTACAGCCTGTGAAGAGTCTGACGTATTAGCGTAATGCAGGAAATCCGCACGAGATACTGAGTGCTGTTTTAGTCACATTTTCCAGACAGACCTTTCAAGCATGATTTGAGAGCATTCCTTAAAAGCTGCCTTGAAACTACCATTTGTAAAAACAAACGTGGCAAGTAGCTTCATACATACATACTTACATGTACATGTACCAGAAAGGTGGGGGTTTTTTGGGTCACCCTATGAGATTTTGGGTCTTGGAAAATAACAATCAAAATTTTGAAAATGAATGTCAATTAAAAGTGCCACGGGTCCTACAATCATGGATGCTGATCAAACTACTGTACAGTGGTATGGTATGTGAGTTCCCAATCAAGTGTAAATTTCTTTTATACTCTTTTGTTCTTAGGCAATACTGTTTATCATTATTTCCCCCTGCCCAACTTAGAAACACAAATAGGCACCGGTAAGCAGAAATAGATTTCACGGTGTGCAAATGTAGCATACAACTGAGCTGTTGGCCGAATGAACCGGTCTAACTCCAGAGTGCTTGAAGACATTTGTATCAAACTTTATATGCATGCTTAGCGGCAATTGTCAATTTGTAACAAACATCCATCAATAGGAATTGTATATCTTGAGTGATCAGCTTAGCAGTATCTGCATCTGCAACTTTATAAGCAACAGTATAAGCTTGAATTGAACTCGATGTAAATATTCCAATTGACTGCTCCTGTATTCAAACTGGTCACAATTTCCAAGAATGGAGTGATAGGTAGACGTCAATTTAAATTCCCTGACAACCATGGATACTTTCCCCCACTGTGTGGCAAGGACAAGCAATGAATTGGACATACCTGTAATTTCTGCATGTGGTCCTCTGCCAGTTGAGTTTTGGTTTTGAAGGAATTCAAGTCCTCCTCCAGTCTGAGCTTTTCATCGGCTAGGACGTTGTACCTGACTTGGTGTGCTCTCAGCTCATTGTCCAACTGACAGAGAGGCGACAAAAAAAAATGAATCATCAGACTTTGACAATCCATGATTTGATTTGGTGAACCTGAGTAAAATAGGTGAGTTGACGGAGGGCCAATGTTTCCCCTCCTTATCTTATTAAGGTTAGAAATCTCCTGGGTGTAAACTGTAAAACGTACAGGAAGTGGAAAAAAATTGTTCCGTTCAAGTTCAAATTATTCATGTAAGTAAGTGTTGGCAATAATAAACTTAAAACAAAAGCCTATTTTGTCAGTACTGCCCAACTTCTGACCCAACTCCATGTACGGTATGTACAGACTTCATACATGTATACAACTGCTCTACATGTTCTTTGGTGTCTGAGATAAACATACAGTACCTCTTCATACACAGGAACCGAAGCCTAGGCATGGAACTGATGAGTATCCAAAGGCACCTTGGTGTATTTTAGGTTTTTAATGCCAACACTTCTTTGGGGTTTGTCTGAGTTGGCTTAGAACCAAGTATATTATTATTATTATTAATACAGATGTCTACACAATGATGCATTCTAACGGTAACCTCATATCATATATTATGATCATTGCTACACCACATGTACATTTCCAATATCATCTTTTCAACAGCAGAAATGAATCAGTGGATTTTGGAGGAGCATGATTCTTCCTACAACTTTTATTGTAACACTGATCCTCTTTGTGGCAGACTCAGCATTTAAAATAAACCCTGCAATTTTTTTTTTTTAAACCTCTAACTTAATTGAAGAGACAGAAACCAGACTAATGGAATGAGAACCGTTACAAAGTGTGCAATATCCAGCGGTCACATCTGTTTCATGCTGGGATCACTATTCAGGATGTGAAGACCGAATCCATGCCTCCAATTGATTCATTTGATTCCCTGAAAATCTTGGCTACCGCGGGTTTGCATGATGTGACACACTACCACCCAGGCCGCAATGCTGCAGACCAGGGGGCACCCCACAACAAACAACCTGCTCTGCAGTTTAGTATTGACAGACTTCTGCTCAAGAGAAAAGACGGGGGAGAGGAGACATTTGACCCACGCAACTATGAGTAAACAGCCTCACTTCAGGGAAGCTTCGATTTCTGGAGGTTATGGATTTGTCCAAGGTTTCAAACATCACTGAGAAAAGTGTCTCTGGGGCGCGGGTCGGATTCTTCAAGAGTAGCAAGGCAAGCATACGACAGTTCAATACAATGCCCCAAAATTCCCTAGTAAACATTATCTGACAGCTACTGACCTAAAGGGAAATCGGAAAATGGCCAATAAAAATACCTGTATTGGCAAACTCTGGCTACAAATCCAGAGAAACTTGATAAGAAAACATTGCAATCAGCACTGCATAATTTTGGGCGGAATAACTGCAAAACTTTCAAAAAGTCAAACAAAAAAATGCAACTCCGGGCATAAAAGGAAAGTGGTGAACATTTACACAGTTTGTACAAACTCTTGCTACAATCCTAAACAACTTGACAATGAAACAACTGTATTTACAGGGTAGCACTGCACAAGAAAGCAAGTAGCTACAAAAGTGCTGCACTTACGTGTAAACCTAACCTTTGGTTGCTTTTCAATGTTTATACAATGGCACTATGAGCAATACTGCTGCTAGTGATGAGCTAAAGTGCGATGTACATGTACATTGTATGTACAGTACTCATATTTAAATCTATTCATCATTACAAATGACAATTTTGGGGAGTCAGGCTGGTACCGGTATAGCGGCTTTTTCCTTGGCTTCCACCTCTTCGGTCCAGCCGGGTTCATATCCCACCCAGGTCAACATGTGGAGTGGGGTTCTAGTCCCTACACGTACGCATATATGTACCCCACTGGATTCTTTGGTTTCCCTAGCATTTTTTTTCAGGTTTTCCTCCCACGTCTAAACTGAACATTTCTCCACTGCCTTTGTCACTGCCGCTTCATCCTGTAATTGGCACTGAATGCACTGATACAAAAAACAAAACTTTTAAGACCAATTCATAAACCTAGAGTATGTACATTCAGAAGTACCCAAAACCAGTTGAATGAATTGAGTACCCTTCCTCAAGGAACATGTCGGCCTATCTTGTACACTGTTGAAAAGAATCCAATATCATCATTCCCACTTCACCAGAGAGATACAGTATGCATTTCAAAGCCAATCACGTTTTTTTTTCAATATGTGTATTCAACTACATGTCTTAAAAATGAGCTTCCCATCTTCCTTGAGCGCCAGCTCAAAATTTTATGAAGCAGTGACATCCTGCTTGCGATTTGCAATAACATGCTGCACGCCGGTAGCTTGGCTTCTGTGACCCCTCCCTGAGATTTCCAATCATGGAAAACCTGACGCTTTTAGCTCCACATTCAATTACGACATGTGTGGGTTGATTGCGAATATGCACTGTGCAGTGTGTTCAATGACGTCAGAATGACTGTGCAATGTTAATTGGTTGGGTCGACGAGACAAAAATTTGTAGTGATGATCACCAAAACAATTTTTAAGATTTCCTAAGAAAACAAAGTGTCTTTAATCTAGGTGCTCATGAATTGTCTACAAGGTATCAAAATAATAGTCAAAAAAGAACTTACTATTAATTGGGTCTTGAAGTTAATACAAATATTATTTAAATATTAACCCTAACCCCCCAGGGTGTATGTAAAATCACATGGAAATCAGAGGATTTGGGACTGCTACTGACCATTTATGAAGTTTTATCAACAGGGGATTGTATGGGTACATTACATATGCATGTATCAGGTATGTATCTGTGACATACATGTATGCTCTGTAAGGAAATATGAAAGGTGCAGACAGAAGTGTCCTAATATCTGTATGTCCTTTTAAAACAATCCAATGAGCATTTTATCAGATAGACTTACACTGACACTTAAGTCTGACAGTTAAAGACATGTAGTGTGATGGCCATTCCATTTATCTCTTACATCAAGCATCAATGCCGGAGCATTTCAGTCATTAATTTTTTGAAAAACCAACAAATCTAGAGTCACAGCACTCTAGCCCCAACTACGTATGTGCACTGTGCAATTCCAGTGACGCCAATGGCAAAGGGGGGGCATTATAACTGAAAAAGAAGACGAAGCTGGGAAGAAAAAAAAAAAGAGAGAGAGATGTTCGGAGTCTGTCAATAAAAGCACTGTGTGTCAACAATGAGAAAATGCACAGGGAAGAGCATGGTTATATCCAAGCTGCCAAGCATGCAGTTGGGCAAACACACCAGCCCTGTACGGCGCTCCACCATTCAGGCCTTGAACAAATAACATCCAATCGATATCCAGCCCCTGGACATGATGACTCAAAATTAATACATCTTTAGACTGTCAGTGGGACTGCTGGGATAAGTAGCTGGACTATGTACATGCTGCACTTTTTGAGGGAGGCTTCTAAACTGAATGGCAACTTTAATGCCAATTCTTTTTTCACAGCTGGTTGCAAAACAAATGACGCAAGTAACCTCAATTTGTATAAATATGAACAAACCAATTAAACAAAATGAATCATGGGTGGTAACAGCCACTTCAGATTTGACAGTATGTAAAAAAACTCTTGCATAATGTAAATCAATTGGAGCCCTCGCATTTTTCACCCATGTATTGTCCATTTTCATCAGGGTACCAAAGTGAATGAGACATTGCTCTTTCTCTCGTAAGCCCTGAACAATCAGTCTGCACTATTTGGTCACAATCATGTGTACTACGAGATTTTTCACCTGATTACTTTTTATCAGGGTGCCAAACTGAATGACACATAAGAACAATAAGCTAATGTAAGTTTACATGTCCTCTCTGCAAAGCAAACAAAACAAAGTTACAAAAACAGGAGCCTCAAGACTCCCTCTGTGGGATCCAGTCATGAATATTCATATTATGGATATAAATGTAAATACTGGTGTACATTATGAAAAAAACACACCAACTTCTGAAACAAGGAATTTTTCACCTCAAGGTCTATCATTAGATCGTGTGGTTACCCTCATTCCAGCACCTGTTTGACAGTGTAATGAAAGGCCTTCATCAGAGGTCTTTCACAGAGAGGAATGAACTGATATGGGTGATCTCACTCAACAAAATCAGTCTCAAGTCCCCAGAGGAACATTTGAGTTGCAGGCACTTCAGAAATTCTTGCTCAATGGAAAATTAACAGGAACCAAATGTGTTTTTGTCGTCCATTTTCATCACAGAGTTGAACTGAGTGACACGTCAAAACGATGAATGGAGAATGTTCTTTTTAAATCACTCAAGGGATACTGGAAAAAATGTGCTTCAGTTTCATTTTTACAGGGTCTGGTTGCAAGCTGACCCAATGTAAGTGGAGTTAACATTTCATCCTCTCTCTCTTGATTCTATATAAATAATGACACAAAAGAGTCATTAAGGATCACAACGTCTAACGCTCAGCTGGTCGTAAGCAATCAAGTAAAACTGTTGTTGCACTGCGTGCTGGTAAATTGAATGCAACCATTGAACATTTCAGTAAAAAATCTCACTAGGTTTAACCTACGTGGATTACGTAGAGTCTTGTTCTTGGATTAAGCATGGGTAGGGTTGATATTAGTTCGTCTAAACCTAAGAAAGAAATGAATGACTCGATGTGAAAAAATGATAATCTGCCTTCCTCATGATAACGGGGAGAGTAAAATTCCAAGGGCCACGACAGAAATCATTCCTGAAGACAGTCAAAACACTCAGGCTACAATATCCAGCTCTACAAAACTTGACAGCTTTACTAGGCAGTTCCCTTTTGAGATCACAGCACCTATACGACGTCCTGTGTAATAACAGTCAGACAAAGCTTTTGGCTCCATTGGCAATGGAGTTGAACTTATTTTTTTTACCCCTCAAAATTCAGTCAGACAGATCACTTTTGCAATAGTTAATCTATCTAAATATTTCACACACCCCTAAAATCTATTCTCTTAAAAGCTGCAATATTAACTGAAATGTAAAACAGTCTGAATTTTTTCAGAAACCATTTCCAGGTGTCAATTCTTAATCAGGAAAATGACATGAGATAGGACAGTTTTTTTGTTCTGACACAGACAGGAAATGATCACCCGATTCAGGGCACAGAAATATAACTTGATATTTATTTGTTGACTGCAAACACACAGTGAATGTGTTCATATGGGAGTGACTAGCTAACCACTAGCATCCCTCACCATCATTACGCTCCCGGCAGTGATTTGCATGGTTCATCGGAAACCCGGATATTCTGCTCGGGTAGGCAGAAACTGCTTGTTCAAAATTCTCTAATGTTGTAAGGTACCAAATTTGCTCCAGGCAAGGCCTGAAGCCCGGAATAGGGAATAGGAACTCCCGTCGATGAAAACACAAACAACAAAGACAAAACTGCAAAACAAATTTTTCCTTCACAACACCCGGCCAACGCCAACACTGGATGCATACGGACGTAAGTCTAGCACAGCCCAAATTCGGAAATGGGGGGTTTCTTTAAAAGTCACCCACACACCTCCTCTGGCTGGACCCAAGGCGGGATGAACTGTGAATATATCCTACCTTGTCCATGAAGTTCCTTGTGTCTCGCAGTTCCAATTCCAAATCCTTGCGCACCGACTTCAGCTCGTTTATCTCGATATCCTTGAGGCGAAGCTGTTCATCTTGCTGGGCACGTTTCTCCTTCATAAAGGAAGAGGAAATTGAAACTTACGGAGATGTCACAAGGAAAAAAAAAAAATGTGAAACAATGAATTTCTTCCCTTAATGAAATAAATGTCTTTTCGGTTGCATGTCTAAAGGCACCAAATGTGACCCAGATTCAAATAACTAGGCCAGTTACAGGAAAAAGATTTACTGCAAGTGACAGTATTTTTTACTTTCCATGTTGTTAACATCTATTGCACACTGCAAAATTTACAATGCACCTGCCACAAAATGACTGCATTTCACCTAAAAGACTAGTATTTTGAGATCCTGAAATAATTGTTCCTTTTTCTCATGAGGTAAAGACGCATCATTCACAATGAATATGTACTTGTGGATCGATACGGGTGGGTTCAAAAAAATAAAACCGTTGTTACTTTTTTTCAATAAAACTCTTTCTTTTCATGACAGTTGAGAAATGTTTGCTATGCAGGGGTTTCTTCAAACTTGCATTAATCAAGGATGATGATGATTTTAATCAATTTGACATCTTTTCCCCTGGTTATAAAGCACCCGATTGGCTTATTAGGTTGTTAAGTGGAAAAATTTCCATGCACCAGCAACATTAGTTAACTTTCAAAGTAGACTTGCATTCAGCCAACTTTGACCAATTTTGATGCCAAATAATGAGTTTTACGGCGGTTATTTTGTTTATACAGAGTAAATCGAGCTCTGTGTTTTGACATATCACTCAGTTTGGCGTCCTACTACAAATAGACTTTATATGGGTGAAAAATGTTGATAGTTCCAACTGATTTCCATTGTGAAAAACTCTTTTCAAGGCTTACATTCAAGAGTGGCTTTGCAAACTTATGACTTGTTTTGTTAGACCTGGCACAATTATGTGATTTTTGAGATTCTTCCACATAGGGGTCGTAGAGTAGCCAGGGGCTACCACCCCACTTCTCTCCCTCCTCTGCCCCCCCAAAAAAAGGAAAGAAAGATGAAAAGGAAGACCAAGAGTGAAAGAAATGAAAGGGGATGAAAATCACCGATTGGCTAAAATAAAAACCTCGACATTGACCCCTTCCATTGTCAATGGTTTATCAGATCATTGCTGGGTAGAAAAAGTGCTTTGTCCCCCCCCCCGAAGTCATGACAATGGCCAAGGTCCTCCGTTTCTCTACCAAACAAGGAAGTAATGCACCTACATCACGAAAACATATGGGGCAATTTTCCATACCAGGGTATCATTGATTTCTCTTTGCAAGCTGTCCAAGCGGTGTGTGGAGGTGCCATTCAGTGTCCGATGTGACTCATTGTCAGTCAGCAAATGTTGATTACGTTCCACAGCTTGAGACAAGCGACGCTTGAGAGTGTCTGCGTCTCTCTGCAGCTTAGCACACTTTAACTTCCATCTATCCAAAATCATACACACAATTTAGTGTTTTAAGCAAACCGGGTAACTATTCCACACTGAATCATTCCTGTACCAACAAAGTCTAACAAAAACCTTGGAGTTAGAAGATTTGATGCATAATTCTCCAAATAAATATAGAACAAATGAAAAAAAAAAGCAGACTTTAGGCAGGCAAATTCTCTATCGGAATCAAAACACACTTTCAACTGCAGCTGAAATGTGACTTTTGAAATGAATGTGTCAGACACGGTCGCATCGTATTAAATAAGATGGCGCTCAACTGAACATCCCCCACCAGCATGGCACTTTCCAACCAATGAGGGGGTGCTTCTGCTCATGGCATGACAGTGCCATTTTGCACCTCACACTTTGCCCTCGTCGGTACATGCAAAGATCGATAAGAGGCTGCGTCTTTCACTCACTGCCTTATCTTGTCTTTGGCCTTGGTCCTCATATCGTCCTTCTTGTACCGAGCTTCTTCCAGCAACCTCTCCAGCTCCAGTAGTCTCTCCTCCTGCCGCTCTGCTTTCCTGTCGCCATCGGCTAGTCTCTTCTCAAGCTCCTTCAGCCGGGCCACGGCAATTTTCTCATGCTCCTGACTTGCCTTGAGATTCTCACTGGCGTCCTGCAGGTCAGTGACCAGTTTAGCGGCATGCCTCTCTTTGTTCTCCAGCTCCTTAGTGACACTCTAGAATCAAAATCGAAGTTCATTCACTGAGTCTGTCATTCAAAATTTAACGTGCCCATAATGAGTGAATGTCAGTTCTTACTTGAAGCAATTCGGAAGTCAAGTGAATTCAGAAAATCAATGAAAAAATGAAACATTTCAATCTATTTCAGTTTCCTTTGCAAATTATCATTAAAATGGCAGGAAAGTTTTCAGCTTCCCTCAGAAGAACAATCCGAGGAGATACTGATACATTGATTGCACCCAGTGGCATAGCTAGGATTTTACTGCAGGGGGACACAAGGGGGCTCCAGCATCCTATGGGGGGCACCAGCTTTCAGTGGTGTGGTTTTTGGGGGGTAAGCTTTTGTTGGCCTTGCTCAGTATCCATTCATCTCTTTTCTTTAGTGGGGGAGGCACCTGGGGGACACCGGGAATTTGTGGGGGACACATCCCCCCCCCCTAGCTACACCACTGATTGCACCAAACTCACATGTGACTTGTTAAACTTGAGGTGTGCCCGTATTTTTCCAAGTCACAACATGCACGCAAGCATGACACCGCTACAGTAACAGCTCCTACTTCTGGTCACTTAATCAATTTCTTGAGAGCCAATCTCCCTTTATGTCTCTTCCTTTCTCAGCACTTTTGCTTAGCCTACTCCCCGGGCCAACAACTTGCCTCAACTAGTTATAAAAAGCCTGCGGCATGGGCTCATTTGATTGGGAGCCATAAAATCTTCCCATGCTGAAAACTGCAAAGTTGTAGCAAAGCCATACTGACGTAATCACTGGCCAATCGTGAGACATGCCGTCCCAAGAGGGATACAAGCTGTGCAAATGAACTGTGAAACATTTTTATACCTTCGTTAATCTAATACTTGTGACCTAACTTGTAACGGATGTAAGATGGACGAGATCACTACTCTGAAAACCATAATGCAAGAGCGTGTACTTCCAAAACTTCCTAAGGCAACAGTTTTTTAATTTATTTTTCGGATTGTGGATTTACATATCAAATGAGGCAATACTGAAGGATGGAATTTTAAAAATTGAAAATTGATATTTATGAATTGAGGTTAAATATTGTTTTGTTTTATTTAACTGGTAAACAAGGAAATTGGCTGGAGAAAGCTCAGGCAAACTGATGCTTTGTGGCGATACTGTCAACGGTCAATCTCTTTTTTCATAACTTCCCATCACTGCCATTGTCATTATTACCAGTTCCCCCCCCCAAAAAAAATTAAAAGGTGAAAATGTTTTTTCCAACTGACAAAAAAACCCAGCTTGGCAGATCCATAAATCATAAAATAAAAAGCGTCGCCTCGTAAGGTCAAATTAAGGGTCTTGCCGGGTGAGTCTCATGGGGAAAATAATGTATTTGTACGGCCTGCAGTAGAGACCAAACAAAGCAAAAGGATGGAAGACAGCTGATTATTCACAATCGCGCTGTTCAATTTCACTTGTCACATGCAAGAGAGCACTCACTGATTAGATTCCGTATTTCATGCGAAGAGACCATACCTCCAAGTGTTGTGACAACTGGTCTCGTTGTTTTTCACTACGTTCCAATTCCCGCTGGTATTTCTGGTGATCCTGCTTGGACTGGGACTGAGTCAGCTGTGCTTTCAATCGTTGGATCTCTCCCTCCAAGACCTGCCGGTCTTTCTCCTCCTTTGCAATAGTTTCTGGAAGGGGCCAGAAAAAAAATTGAGAACAGGGAGTTAGACAATAAAGGGCAGTTTTTTGTGTCTCCTTTTTGCCTCTTCAATTCATTTGAAGAATATTTTCAAATAATATTGTCACTTTTTAACTTCACAAATTTCAACAGAAACAACACGCATTGTCTCGTCTGCCCCGCGTACCAACATGTTTGCTTCTTAATCAAATAAAAAACTTTCACTTGTGTGGTTTGCACACAGGTAAGGAAGCAATCCAGAAGGGGGCCCGGGGGTTTTGCGCAGTAAACCTCAAGGTTTTTTGAGGTTCGGCTTCATGAATGGCTCTTGAATACAAATGCATAATCCTTGAGCTGCAGGTCAACTTCACACACATGAATGGTCGCAGGATGAAGCTTTCAGCGTGGGTAACAATAGAGCTACAGCAGACAATGATGGATGGTGGCTGCTATTAGGGATTAAAAGATTAAAGGTGTTTACTTGTCTTGGGAGGGCAGGTATCTAATTACATGTAGGATTACTAGGAGATTATCTTGAGCCTTAAATCACTCTTTTGTCTGTGCATTGGGGTCATCCGCGTGGCGGTTAACCAAAAGTTTTCCTCTACCGAGGCTGCCTGATGTGCGCTGACCTGTGGATAATGAGCTCATTATAGTACGATGAGAGAAACCTCGAAAAACCCAGCGGCCCCACGAGGTTTACCGCGCAAAACCTCCGGGGCCCCTTCTGGATCGCTCCCTAACCAGTACCCATTGCCAGGAATGTATCACAAAGGTTGGGACAACATTGCATTTGAGGACATTATCCTAAAATGAAATCAACAGCCACAGAAACATTGCCATATTTTTCAAACGACTTTGTGTACAGGTAAAAGTTTACGGCAGCATTTCCTCCATGTATGGTGATGTTAACAACTGGTGGAGTACAGCTCAGTGTAAGCACCCTAAAGGAAGTACGGTCCAATGCCATTCCAAACCACACTGTCCTGGCTCCCTGCTGCACTATGCAATCCAGGAGGCTACTAGTGGTTACCAGCAAGAGGACCGAACTCTGTAGGATTGTTGTGAATACTTAACTACAGTCACAACAGGCAATACCCCCAACTTACTGTGCGTTCGTTGTAATTCAGTCAAACTGACTAATCACAAAGCGAGGCTATGTTACAGATTACAGGTTCATCTCTGGTTCCTACAGGTTCAGAGGCCATGAACCAAATGAAAATACTGCAAAACTTGAACCTCATTTTGGATATCTGGATATTTGTCACAGACAATGGAGTTGCACTGAGCGAGGGAGTTTTTAATCGGAGAAATAAATTCATGAGACTGAAACCCAAATCAAAAATGAGACACCACCAAGGTTTGGAGAAACCTCTTCAAGTCTTGCTCCAAGATAGAAGCACATAATGGGAGAAATTCTGACCAAACCTTGTAGTCGTTGATGTTTCCTGTCTGTCCGGCTTAAAGGCAGCCCTTCTTGCTCCATGGATTCTTGCAGGTCTGAGAATCTATCCTGCATGATGGACCGCTCATGGTCAGAGAATCTCAAACGATTTTTGTAATCCTCAATCTGACAACAAAATTCCAAAGACCATGATTAACTCTAAACCCATTCAAAAATCCTTAAATGACCAGGAAACCCAAGGGACATTCATTGTACTTTGACTTAAAAAAGCCTCAAGCCAAAAGTAAAGTAACAGCGAACTCTACCTTCCTGAATTCTCCAAAATCCTCTAAACTCTTCAAAAGCATTATTAAAGATCAGGAAAGGTTATACTAAAGAGGCTGTGATAACCACATCAAGATCTTTCTGACTGATCTTGATATGAAAAGAAATTAAAAGAGTAGTTTTCGCTAGACACTAGACAGAATATATTTAGAAATACTTTTAGGTTTTAGTTCAGGAACACAAAGCCTTGCTTTGGTGGATTAACCAATCATGTCATCATTTCACATTAATTGAGATTTGAAAGTGGCATGTTATGCTTATACAAACAAATGAACCTAACCATATCTTGGCCAAATAACAATAGAGAAATACTTTAAAACCTTCCTTGAAGATAAAAGCATTTATTAATAAGTATACCCAAGTCACAGATCCCATCTTTCAACTGGCAAAGGATGCTTTGCATGGTTTTTAATATTTTTACACTTTGAAAAGCCTGTACCACAACAGCATCTACCTGAAAAGTACCCACTGTAATGAAAGTATTGTACAGTTACATGTAGATGTTATAAAATAAAATATTGATTGCTTCCAATTATATACATATTTTGTACCTGCGTTTGTGTGAATTTGATGCAGCCAAATTTTGAATATTCATTGTTGAAAGGTTGAACATTCAAATATGTAATTTCTCGAATTAATTCAGCCTTACATTCTCCAATAGTGGATGCCTGGGGTACACGTAGCTAAATTTCTAGGGCTGTTCTGAATATTCGAATATCCAAATATTTGAACGATTATTGAATATTTGAATACCATTTTCCGAATTTGAATATTTGAATGCAAAATTTATGAAAAGGAAGGGAAAATTTTCTTTGTTTTAAACGAGAAAAATTGCACTATGGAAGCTTGTTTCAAGCAGACTCAAATGAAAAGTGTCAGAAATTGTACAACAATTCAAAGAGTAAATTATTTATTAAAAATTTAAAAGGAATAGAAATTTTCAACACAACAAGAAGTATTGTTCATCTTTTACATCTTGCTAAATCGTGGCTGGAGATACTCCTAGACTTGAGAAGCTATTATAGTGATTATAATATACCATTGTGTTCATTATTGCAACTGATTGTGTTTGGTTTATTCATGGAAAATCTGCCAGTTGGTACAATCGAATATTTGGATATTTGAATTATTGAATCGAAGGTCGAATATTCAAATAGTGAATTATCTGAATTGACTCGGTCCTATAATTTTCGTTCAACACACAAAGCAGCATATTTATACTTCAGTATTTCAAAATTCATCAATTGGACACGAAAGTATTTGTCAGACTATGGGCCTCAAGCTGGGTCAAGAGAAAGTGCTATTTTCTCAGCAACCGAGTCTCCTTGTCAGAACTGAACAATGATGGTGCACGAACAACTAGGAAATTCACACGTTACGGTTGCAGCGCTACCAACAAAATGAACACTCCCGACCAACATGGCTCTTTTTAACCAACGAGGGAGTGCTTCTACTCTAGGCGGACAGATTAGCCGAGCCTCTTTTTCAGATATCCTGCATATGCTTTATTCAGGTTCCTTCCTTACCTGATCTTGCATGGCTGCTTTCACCCCTTGGGCTCGGTCCAGTTTTCGTTGGGCTGTCTCCAGCTGCACGGTTAGTTGTTGCTTCTCAGTTTCTGCCTTCAAGAGGCGTTCTCTCATCTCCTTCTCCTCCTGCTTAGACTGGGCTGCTATTGCCTGGAGTTTGGGTAACGGCAAACGTTTTAGGTTAATATTATCAATGACTGTGGCTTGTTAATAGGTGGAAAATGTCCAATTGAACCAAACACAGACTCCAGGGAATTACATCCAGAGCAATTACGTCTGTTGATTTCGGACAGAGTTTAGGAAAATTATCTGAAAGTACTGTAACAAAAATTGCCGATGTTCTGAAGCACTAACGTATCATTTATATGTATGTTTGTTTCACAAGCATGAGTGAAAATACAGACCTAATGTACAAGTCGTACTTCCGCTTTTGCTAGAGATACAAAATGCCCTATTTAGAAAGGAATGCACCCAATGTTAAGAAAAAAATACCCAAATTTAGAAATGGCTTAAATTTCTTACCAATTTTACATACAAAGCAAGGATACTTGCCCAAGGTGAACGTATTTGTTTAAAACAGAGGTTCTGGTACACCCAAAAGTGACAAATTTTAAGAGAGACCATGCAAACAATTAGTTAATTTGTCCTACTGTAGAATTCAATGAATTGGCTAAGTCTCTTTCAATCCCAACCTGCTTCAGTTCAACAGACAGCTGCCCAGTTTCTTTCTTCCTCTTTTCCTGAGCCTCCTGGTGGATCCTGTGCTGTCGTAATTCCTCTTGGATGGCCTGTAATTTCTTATCCACCCTCTGAGAAGACTGAAAAACCAATCAAAACCAATCACAACTTTGCAAAATGCGACAAACTCGTATCGTTTAGGGCATTCAAGGCAGTAATGATAGGTACAACTCAAAATGACAGAAAGTTAATCAAAATAGACCAGCAGTGCTCGAATACGAAAGTGTGTTTACAAGACGCAGAGAAGGACTTTCCCAAATTTTCACGGCAGGTGTGGGCCATGTGTTTCATGAGCATGCACACTGTAAACCATGCTGAATATTCACGTGGCTGACAAATTCCTGTATTGATTGTGTGCATGCTAGGAGCACCGGCAGACCTTACCCCTCCATCACTGTTGTCATTGAATACAACTACAGAGGCAGGAATCAGACCACTGGCCCTGCAGGAGCAAAAACTCCTTGAGTGCACACGTGCATGGCTTCATATGATTTCTTTTTTTCAGTGCACAAGTACATGTAGCTGCGAGATATTGAGGGCACATCGTAAATGTACGGTTTTCACAATATCAGAATTTTTCTTCAAATGGAACATTCAACATTTTCCAGGTGCATGTATTTTTTTTGTCAAATTGCATGCACTGGGGGCCTGAGATACATTTATGTTTCAAGGCAGACAGTTCTGTCTCTTTGCTGTTAAATGGTTACTAGCGGGGTGGTACTTGAACTTGAAGTCTACACATCACACACAGTTGACCACGTAACAGAATTTGTTCAGGTACCAGGTCAACGCGACGATTAGAATACAGTTGTTGATGTCACAAAACTGTCGATGTTTTTCCGCGAGCATCTGCTTCGGCCAGGTTTGTGAATGCCCATTTTGACGGTATACCTTCTGTTCTTCCTCCTTCCTCTGCGATTGTCTGACACTGTCTGAGAGCTCTTGCAGGGCTTTTTGACTGTCAATGCGATCTTGATTCCTGAGCTGAATCGCCTGGTCGAGGTCCTGCTCCAAGCGAATCTGATTGTCGCTTAAATCTCTTACCGTCTCATGAATGTCATGAATCTAAACAAAACAGACAACCAAAGCGATAAGCAACCACAGATAGGTGTAACTTTAATTTTTGGCAAAGTTGGACATTCAAAAGGAACCGCAAGAAATAAAGATCCTTGCTGTTTGAAAAGTTATTACTTTTTAGAGCACTATATTCTTCTGGCTTCCATTTTCCTTTGAAGACAATAAAAGTTTGTTAGTTTGTTAGTTATCACATGAGCGTTCATGCAACACTGAATAATGTAAGGCATGTGTGTCCCACATGCCACGAGGCCGAAGGTATACGGGACACAGACGCACTACATCATTCTGTGTTCAACAAGTGCAAGCGTGATAACAAATTTATCTTCAAGCAAACTTGATGCACAGCAAAGATGTTATAAGGGCCTATGTGTGCAAAAGCGCCACCTTTGAATTCACTGTCAATTATGCAGTTGTGCATTTCCTTTTAGCGTAAAAATACCACATGGCGCAAAAATACCACATGGCGCATTACGCGGGGTTTGACATGGACCGTGCAATATAGTTCTATGTCACACTGTTTGTTGCCATTGATCGGCCAATCACAATTAATAATTCAAGTTTGCCTGATGACAAACTATAATCACATAATTTGCAAGTCTGAACTCTCTTCGATTCAAAGCAAACATATTTTTGACAATTCTTTCAGCATATATGCGTCACTAGGGAAGGTGTCAAAAATGAATCTGTGAAATCCTTGAGCATAATTGTTCAAGTATATAACATTGTCGGCTTGCTCAATTAAAGATTAGGTATTGCACCTTGTATAGAGATGCCTTGCAACTCTATACACCAATGTCACACTCTTCTCAGTGCATTCCTCATCAGCGAAAACCTAAACTTTAAATCAAGTCGGTAATTAGCCGGGTGTAGTCCACCTTCCTCCCGATGCCTACGTGGTGCAGTTCAGCGTGCAGTTTTATAACACGCTGGAACGGTCAGTGCAACCTCGCTCCCTAATATGCGTGTTCGGCGATGCCCAATTACCGACCTGACCAAATTAAGATCCTCTGTGATGTTGTCTGTGCTTATACTTTGGATATGGAGGCTGTGAGGCATTACTTGCTTTGCGCCCTTGTGTCCACTTTTTACTGTGAGTTCAGAAATTCCGACTTGAAGAATCTGCCAGCCGTTTCTGCACAGTGAATCAGCTCATCTACCACAAGTGGTAGCAGCCAATTAAATTGCCAGACTTTTTTTTTACATCGTTCACACAGGTTTGCATTACAACACATGAGTCTACAAGTCTGACTACTTTGATTGGTGGAAATTCTGTATACATTATGCAAGATCATGTTGTTCATATGAAATTATGAATAACTAGTTATCACCGACGGGGGGTTCGATGGCATATCCTTCAAGTCGGACTTACTGACTGGTAACGTACACCTATGACACACATTGTATCATAAAGGCTATGAGTTAAGAGACAGCCCAATTGCAACAACTGTGTACTGTGTGCAGGCAAGTGAAGGGATGGCTGACTAGCTGACTAGAGAAGAGCAACATAAGTCTGACTTGATTCAAGTCCATGACTTAGAGCAATCTGGAAGCCCATATGTGCACAACATACAGGGCTTGCAACCAAAATTGGACGGAGCAGTCTAATTGACTAAGAATCCCAATTACATGAATGTTTATTTTAGGGGCAGTTTGATTGGTCAATTGAACATCTATTAGCAACTACAGTCTTGTTCATTGAAGAGGATGTTTACATTATTCTGAAAAGCTGATTTACCATAAAAGCATCGTTTTTTATCAGCAAAGATAGTTAATGGATTTATTCTTGAAGAGTTATGTATACTTTGTCTTTAAGCGTCATATTAAATGTGGCACTAATGCAAGATATGAAAGAAACTGGCACTAATCAAATACAGACATCCCTGTATATAAATGGATGAATCCATTATGTAGCATGTGCTACTATTGGCACTCTCCATGGAAATGTATGAATATGCAGTGCAGCAGTTGCATGCATGATTATCCATCTGGAGTCAGGTTGATCAAGTTGTTAGGCGGACAACGAAACCCACTACTGAACAGCCCACGACCATGCATCGTATCCGGGCCGAATCCACGTGGCACACTGGATCATGGGCAACAGTGAACAGGCTCAGCACTAATTGTGAAACGACGTAGCATGCTAGCTCATAGTGTTCTGGACGATAAACATGACCAACTAATGACTTGATTTCGAGTCTAGCAAAAACCTGGAGATTTGTGCACATTTCATTGCAAATTGGTCACTCACATTCCCGGCCATTAACACGCCAGAATCAGTGCAAACAATAGATCTGTACTTTGGGCGCTGGAAATACAAACAGTACCATCTACAATGTACATGTCCTTTCCTATACACAGTCCACACTTTAGAATGGAAAGTCCTCGCATGCCAATCCGCTCAAACCAGTAACGAGAGGGCATGTTTTTACAGAACAATGACAGTCTTTTGGTGGGAATTCAGTAAGTGCACAAGATGCTCTGAGCACATGTGAGGGACCAAATTCTGTTTGAATGCAGAGTCTTGGCATTTGCGCCGGGTGCATGCACGAGCCTATGGAGCCTGAAAGTAAAACATCACGCAGCGAGCTTCCAGAACCCTTGCGCGGTCTGCCTATGGGGATTTTACATTGGGCCATCCTATCGCGTTCGATAATTTTTGGAAGAATAATTTCTTACGGAAACCATCCCATGAAACACTCCTGTTGGAATTTTACCTTTGTCTTCCTCAAGTAATATTCTGGAAAAGTCACCTGGAGATGGGTAAAAAACAAATTTTATATCCGACCTTTCACGTCCGGCGATATCGCACCTAGGTTTCCTTGTTCACGCACGTTTGTTTTCATTCGCTGTGCTTTCTTGAAAACAAGATTGTACAACCTTGCAAAGATTGACCTACCTGCAGTCGATAACTTCCAGATTCCATTGAGTTGACATCACACAGTTGTTGTCAGCAAAGGTTAAATATTACAATTTTTCGTAAAAGTAGAATATTGCTTGGTGTTTATTACCTTATAAATGATAAAACTGTGTGAAATATTTTGTTCTGCTTTTATTTCGGCTTTTACCATAAAATTTCAAATCGCAAATGTTCATCTGCGTACGAGACTGCCGCATTGCACTGTTCTTCGTGTCTTTTAGATTTTCGGAAGTGATGGGTCAATTTTTGGTAGGATATTTCTCTTTTAGATCAGGTAATTTTTCAGTTTCAATAAATTGATATACTAGCAAATATATTTCAAAGCCGTATTTTCAAGGTGGATTTTTTTAAGAAGAAACGGAACGAAAAAATATTGCAAATTCGAAAATCTTTGCATCCTATCCAAGGGTTCCGGAAGCGTGCCATCAGGGGTCGACTTTCAGGCTCTATTGACAAACTGCCCGGTAGTCTGTCTCTTCTCTGCCAGTGAGGGTTCACTTCAACTCAGGGGCAGACGGACACAAGGTAGACAAATGAAGTGAACATCACACCATGAAGCATACATACCTCGTCCAACTCATCAGTGAATTTTACAGAGGGTCTCCTCATGTGCCTTCCCTTCAATCGCTTCGATCCTCTTGTAATCTAATAGTCCAAGGAAAAATATTCCTCAAAACAGGTAACAAGATTTTCTGTGACCTAAGGACGTGTAACCCACCATCCTTAACAAAAAACACACATGGTAAGACAGTTTTGGGCTTTTGTGTTCGAATATGATGTCCATGTTAAAAGTTTGATGGTTGACAACAAAACTGCAGAAGACCTTCTTTCACTGTGATGCCAAAGACTACGCTGGTAGACCAACAAGACTGAAGGCACATAAAAATTGATTTTACCACTTTAAATTTCAGTCATCTGATCGGAGAAGTTTTAGTTGAATGTGTCAAACAGCAGCACTGCATTATGCCAAAAAATTCCTGTGTTTTCATGAGAGTTACCTACAGGAATACGAACACAATTTAAAAAACGGTGGTTGCATGCCCTCGTCAAACAGCTTCATTTCAGTGCAACAGGTCACAGTTCAGCTTGGAGCCAATGGACTCAACTACGCCCTCATGGTAGGTCTCAATCAAGTTCAAGTCGATGGAAATGAGTCATCACTTGCAAGAGCTCAACCATGCGGGACACAATGTCACACACAGGTTCCCACACATATGATGCAGAGTACACACAAGTAATTGTCACCTGATCGGTACAACAAGCAAAGCCAGGCACACATACTGGCCCTTTTGCAAAGGATTGCGAGTGCTCAAACCTGCATGCGTGCTCAGAACAAGGCACGCATGCTCGGAATTGGTACAAAGAACCAGTAAGTAAGATTTGAAGCTTTGCATGATGGATGAAACATGAGAAATGGGTTTGCGGGTACACCATGGAATCAATCTCTTTTGGATGAGGTGTGGTTCTTAAAAGAACCGGTGAGTATAAACTTGATGTTTCGCCCAGTGTGCTCTGGCCGTCCTCAGGACGAGAGCACACTGGCTGAAACGTCAAGTTTATACTCACTGGTTCTTTTAAGAACCACACCTCGTCCAAAAAGAGATTGATTCCATGGTGTACCCGCAATCCCATTTCTCAAAGAACCAATAAGTTTGCCACCACTAAGCGTCTCAAAGTCTCCCACTGCAAGATGCTTGAGTGAATTGTTGCTGTGCAGTCCTCCTCAGGTGCATTCCCGTAAACGAAAACTGGACAGGCTTTCGATCATCAAGTCGAAAACAAGTTGGACACACAACACACCATAGGCTTGTATCAATCAGTCAGTGTTGTAGTCGAGTCCACCACAAGGCCAGGCACAACACCAATTGCATGACCAATTGCCAGTAACAGAGTAAGCAACAGCAAAGGAATGCTTTCCTTGCAGTTGAATAGCTAGTGAATTGAATCCACACCCAGCGGTTTTGTGTTGGTCTTGTGTTGGTCTTACGGGAGACTTCTAATGGTCAAGCTGTCTTTGACAGCATCATTTCAGCAAGGGTTTAACAAAAGAGTTTCATGACTCTTTCTGCAAGGAGTTACGGAATTATGACCTGAACTCACTGTATAATCATCATGGGGTGAAGTTGGTTGGTATTTTCTTCGACCGCTGGTCTCCCGCAAGTCACTTGCCCTCAGTGGTCGACTGCCACTACCGGGACTGCCCTGCTGAGATGATAAACGATTGAGTCGCTCTTGACGAAGACTTTCGGTAGAGCGAGCAAGGTTGTCTCTTAACTGAAATTAAAAGATGGCGGAACAGTTAGACATATCCTGTGTACACAATAGGCACAGAGACAGCATTTCAGGCAACCAAAGACCACTGGACCACCCTAGAAGGCACGGTCACGGTTATTCACACAGACAAACTTCCAGCTGCAGCTTGGGGAATGAAAGCTTTATGTCACACTTTTACGCCAAGCTGAAAAGCATGACAGCAACTTGGGTACACAAAAAAAACATTTTTTTCAGACATTGCATAAAACAATAAATGTTTCACATATGTGCTATGGAGAGTTCGATTTCGTTCAGTTACAGAATGAATGTTCACTTTTTCATCTCATAAAATGTTCGTAATACCGCACCCGTAAATGTTCATCATTTGTACACTGATTCATTCTAATGAACAATAATTAGTACGTCATAATCCAAGATCAAACCAAATTTCTAAAATATATGAATAAGTTCACTGAACGACAGATTTAAAAAGGCCTACTGTGTAATGGAACCTTTTGTCACCTTATGAAATAACTGCAATCATCCATATTTATTATTTCTATGACAGTGTACGTTTCTCTAGGTCCAGGTAGTGAAACCTTGGGCGATAAAATGTAGAGTACCTTATGACTTGCAATGTAGCTTGTTAGAAAGAGTAGGCTACGCACAGAGAAATTTACGCGTCAGCAGTAACCCTCTCTCTTATTCACGAGTGAGGGTGTACTTATTCACACGGTCCATAAATGATGCATACTTCAAAGTCATGCTTGTGCACAGCAAATCAACTGGTCGGCAACACGAGCTACATGAAGAATGCAACACCACAGGGCAACACTGGACTTAATGAGCAACCCCCCCAAAAAACAAAGCTGTCATGCCTCACCCTCTCGATGGCAGCATTCTGTCTTTTGTTGCTGTCTCGATAGTGGCCAAGCAGCCCATCTACAGCATTCAAATTTCGACTTGTACTCTGTAGTTGAAATGGCAAACATTTGGTCAGAAGCGTGAACCTATGAACTGATACACAATTACATGTCCATGTGCACACACTATACCACCTAAGATGCATTTGTAAAAAAAAACAAACTTTCAGATGACAAAACCACAAAGCAATATGAACAACTTACAAAAGCAGCAAAAATTTTTTTTCCATGTGCCATCACAAAATGAAAAGACAGGCTGTGGAATTCCTTTCTTGAGAATATGTCTGTATTCCATTTAAGGAATTACGACTGCGATGGTGCTGAAAATATGAATCTGAATCTGAGAATTTGAATCTGAAATCTGAGTCTGAATGCCAGACAGCCAGCTCCAAGGTACTTTTGAGATATTTTATTTTTGTTTTCTATCAGCGGCCTGAAATTTCTTCCATCAATGAATTAGCTAGCCATAGCAGAAAGGTTGTTTTTGTCTATCAACGAGATTGAATGGAAATTGTGACCTAGACTGGATGGAGGACTTTGGGAGAATGGATATGTCTCTGACGTGCCTTCAATTCATCCCGTAGATGTCACTCGTTTGACGCCATCCTTCTAGGAAAATTACAACAGCATTTACAATGCGAATAGGTGCGTGTGTGGGGGGTGTTGATAAAAAAAATCATCAAAATGCGGCGCAGCAGATATGCCTCATGAAAATTTGAAATTGAAATTGCCAATGCATATCAAAAGTACAACATGTACATGTACTTCTTCATCAGATGTACAATTTTTTTTACTGCGAAAGAAAGCTGCAAATGAACACTTACCCTTAATGAAGATGTTAACACTTGTACGTCATCTGTTGCTGAAGATGACGACCTTGGGTGCCTAGCTCGGATGACTCTAGGCCTGGTGCTAGAGTCAGAGGGCTCATATCCATCACTGTCGGAAGACATGGTTGTCCCCTTGTACAGTTAACAGAATACACTTGTTGCCATCAGACATCATTGACTGTTCGAAGAAGACTTGAAGAAAAAGCTGATTTTTCTTAGCATCCTGTGTTCTGAACATACAAAAGAGGAACGCCACAGTCAGGCCAAATGACAGGCAATCTTAAAATCACAATAGGACAGGCAATTTCCCACATTTCATTTTTGACTAAATTAAAAATCAGCATTGAAATCGGTGAAGAAATCTTTAGAAAAGCGCTGGGTTTCACTCGTTCTTGACAGTGACACTGAACAGTCATATCAAAGGAGACTACTCAATTCCTATTTGGCCCTTATAATGATTAATGGCAGTGGAGTTGCGAGTGGCAATGCTAGACCCGATTGGTCAATATGCATGATCACTCAGTAATTCTGCCATGATCAGCCAATTGCCTTTTCTTTGTAATTCATAACTGTGAAAAACTGTTTAAAAAAATGGTAGTTAAGTTGGACATTTCATACACTAATTACAGGATTAACCAATCTCACAGAACGATCACGCAATCAGATCAGTCAATTGCGTCCTATACTGCAGTAGCTCCTATGCTATGAGCGGTAGGTTACATCAAACTCAAATACTGTAAATCAGCAACAGCATGATCACCTATCATGTTCGTTTAGGCCTAGACCTAGTATGGGCCATGTAAATCAAACAAAGCAATATAATTTAGTAATCACTGGTGAATGGTACGCATATTCAATGCATGTATGCAATGCACGGACTGAGCTGGGTTTTCGAGCATGCACCTCCTGTCGTGCCACATACAGACTACCGGTCGCAATATGATGCCTGTGTTACTGCAGCTGAGTCGACCGTTTACAAATGCGCTGCATCAATGAGCAAGCATCCGCCACCACGAGACTGGCATCCGAGAGTTACGCATTCTGTCTTCAGAAGCAATGTCACCTTCGAACACATTGTGGAATCATACTCACGTCTACAGACTTTAAACACTGGGGCATTCGACAGCTTCAATTGGTCTTTTTCACGCGAGTCCCCCAAAAAGAAATTGAAATGGCCGCTCGTTTTATGGTTTGTAACGTCAGTCATGTGTAAACATTGTTTCCACACGTCGAGATCGATCGATAGTGCACAGCCAGCCCACCCACACACTTCTCCCCAGGTATATCTTAAAAAGCGTACATGTAGAAATATGTGTGCTGCAAAAAGGGTAGGTTACGAAGTTGCATACCACACCTGTGGCCAAAGCTTTGGCTTGGAGGGGCCTACTTTTTATTTCCCCTCCCCCCCAAAAAGAGAAAACGTGAAGCATTATTATTTTGCTCGTGCGTCTTGAAAATATTATACATGACCACGATCGATTCGATGGAACAGCTTCTACAGGTGATTTTATAAAGGGCGAACATTTTTGCCGGTGTATCAAAAAAATCCAGCAAGCTAAAGCAGTCTTCAGCTCCAAATTTGAATGATGTGAACTTATACTAGCGATAATAAAGAAAAACGATAAATGTCAATCGCTAAGACAGAGACCAACCTTATTCAATCTATCCACTTTTCCTTAATTTCGATCGCACGGGCACAAACACTCCAGCATATTCTCTCATCTTACCCGCAGGCCCTACTGTGTAAAAAGACAATTAAGTCCGGCAGAATTCTCTATCTCTCTCAAAAAAAGAGATCGACACAATGGCTATGATATGGCGATTAGTCATATACTAATTTCCCATCGCTTTTTGGTCAAAAATGAAATTGTTTTCCTCTTCAGCCTGCCTCAGTCGCACTTCATAGGACATCTTGTGTCTCGGGTAAATAAAAACTGGAGAAGTGTTAAACAAAATGTCAGTTTGTCAAAAAATGTGAGCACATTTTTGGAAAGTGGAGACCCAGTGCTATGCAAATACTCCTGTCTAATTTAAATTTGAGAAAACTATATTGCAAAAGATGCTCACGACAATCGTTTTTATTTATGCGTATGGTGTGGTGCTTCGAATTTTAGACCTTTTTTCTCATGGATACGTGTTTCTACCTGAAACCAGCTACTTTCTCAAACTCTTGGGACTTGAATCAAGACTTTCTCCTGAAAACAAAAACGCCTAGTCTCTGAAATAAAGCCACTCCAAAAGGGTGAAAACCAATCTTAAAATAGTGAAAAACCACTCCAAAAGAGAGAAATTTTCACTCTTTTAAGGAGCCATAATAACAAGGGACTACTTGAAATATAGAGTTGTCCCTTATGGCTCCTATTTTAAAGTGGTTTTCACTCTTTTGGAGTGATTTTTATAAGGAACTCAGTGAGGTTTTTCCCTCTTTTGCGTGTAGAGGAAACATTATAAATATTTATGGGCCCCCTCCCCATATACATGTACAGATGAACTCTGGTGGGGCATGGTCGGATCCAGGGGCGATCCCCCGACAAAGAGTGGCTATTAAAAATACAATCAGAAAACAACGCTATTTGGGGAAAATATTTCATTCCCCCAACTTCAACCATTGAAGGTTACATAGAGAAATTCCCATTTCTTGTAACCTGCACCCCCCGCAAAAAGAAGCCACCCCCAGAGAACTTGGTTCTAGATCCGCCCTTGTAGTTGTAGGTTGTAGATCTGGGTGCTACCATGCATCATGGACAGAAATTGAGTCAGGTTCTCTTCACAAAAATACTTCTAAACAATTAATGTGAATATTTGCCCTGGAGTCCCCCGCCCCATGGGCCCGCGAATCCCAGTCGCAGTATGGCGGAATATAATCTCTAACATTTTTTAAAATATGTGTATAAGTCAATGATGTAGGCCTAGGTAAATCTCAAGTCTCAAAGATGCATCACAGTACAATTCTATAGTAATTTTTCTCGTTACTTTTTAAACATGAGAATTTGGTCCTGTCATTATAGTTTTCTCCATCTTGAGGTTGTATTCCCAGGTTCGTAAAATAATAGTAATAAATCTGGTGTGTTTATGACTACACAACTCCTTTATGCTAATACTAATTTTGACCCCGGGAGATTTTATTATTTTGGATTGATGTTTTGTTTCAGATTTTCCCTCAAGTGAGCGAAGATTTCCTACAGATATTTCCTCAAGTAAGAAAGGAATTTTTACAGATTTTCCCACAAGTATGGTGTTCCATATATGCCGTCTGGTCAGATTGTTTGGTGGGAAAGATTTTCACAGACTTTTCCCACAAGTGAAAAAATATTTCTGTGCCTTTTCACACAAGTGAGGAATTATTTTCACGTCCTGTGAATTGTGAGTGTGAAAGTGAGCGTCTTACACAGTTTTTTTTTTTCAATTCCAATTTAAAGAGTTTAATTTCTACAACAATATACATACACCTTACACGTGCGTTTAATTAGGAGAGCAAGAACTTAAGCCACGGGTGCTTTGACGTATTATGTTCTCCTCTCTGACACCGTACGTGTACAGCATGTAATTTGCCAGTAGTTCGTATGCAACGAGCGAATTATTTGGCGCGCAGTCATCTATCCGCCGGTCGAAAATGTCATTATTAAAAGAAACGGCACTGTTGGTTGGATGTCCACCGCGCCCTCCAGAAAATCTGCCCAATCACTGCTTAGCTATTTACCGATAACCCTTTTCACTGGTTGCCTAGTCATGGGTGCATAAACTCGTCAGGGTAGTACCAGTCTCGTGATTGTGCACACGACGTGTGTCTTTCGCATAACAAAGCGTGTGTAGCGTCCCGTGGAAAGTGAAGTGAGTGGTATTTTAATATTTGTGGAAATCGTTTCGCTTGTGAGTAGTTTATGCAGCAAATATACAACAGCTGGTTTTTTTTTCTAAGTGGGGCGGTAAGGGTGCGTTCACTATATCCAAAAGTTTATTTTTGCTGAGCCCTTTTTTACTATGTCAATTTTGGTCAGTGGTAGGCCTAACGTTGTCTGACGTGGGTGTACGTTTGAATGTGTCGTGAGCTAGCCCAGTTTGGTCGCTAGGCCTAGTATATTAAAAAATATTATGTACAAGACGACCAAAAATTTGATTCTAATTTGTTCTTGGTTTACCATGTTAAAGAAACTAATTTATTTTTATGTTTATTCGTTCATCATGTTAAGTGCTATGCGCGTTATGAGTCTACAGGGGTCGAAATTAACCTTTTTTTCCTGGTCGGCTGGTAGCCAGCAGGACCAGCTGACCAGTAGGGGCCTAGGCCCAAGGCCTACTTCAAAATTTTCACTAGTCCTGCTGAAAGTTTGGTGGCCCCATACCAGAACCGCACACGCAGCCGCTTGAGCAATCCTTGTTAGACATTTAGAGCGCAGGTCTCGATGAATTGTTTTTTCTAGTTTGTCCAATCAGGCAGGCCATGCCATAAATTTGTTTGCCTAAATAGGATCAAAGATTTCTCGGAATCCACAATTATTATGGTTATTTAACTTAGGCCTGCTGCATTACACGCAGTCTTTTATTAGGCCCCAAAACAGTTGTGCCTTGCCTCTCAAAAATATGATCGGTAGGCCTAGGTCGGAAATTTTTTTTTGTTTGGAGAGCAATTTTTTGTTCTGATTGAATGGCATCAGTGGGGACGACAACTTCCAAAATTATCTCATAAAGTGATGAACACCTGTCTTAATCTAGGCTATGTAAAAATTTCTACATTCAGCAATTCACAAGAAAGTTTTAGACAATTTACACAGTGCTACTCCGGCGATCGCAACAGCAAACTGGCCGACAATGTCTGTGTATCGCATGGTAAGCATGCGTGATGCATCCAGACCAGCGGGCGATAAACTTTGAGCTACGAGCAGAACAACCTCAAATTACATGTTAACTCATGAACGCAGAAAATTCATAAATAAGAGACCAAGTTCTGTGGCTTAACTTGCAGAAAACCTCTTGCAACATCAATGTCTTTTCGACCTGCAGCCTTGGGCTGTTGGGGATGCATTCGTGACATGTACGGCTGATGTTGGGTGGACATGTACAGTACAGATTGGTTCTGATTCCTACGTTTCCATCACGCGTTCTTTTGCATGGGCACGGCGTAGCGGGAACCAGAACAGCTTCGTTTAATGCATTGAGATTTGCGCACGTATTTTCAACACTGCAACAGTGAAACGTGAATGGAAACTCGTGAAAATAACTTTTTTTTTTTCAAAAATTGCAAATGTAAGTAGAAAGACATTAAAAACCAAGCATTTCAACGTGAGAAAAGGTTATGGAAAGATGTTTGTGAAGACAGAAAAGACGTCAGATTTCAACTGGCCCACTCGACCACCAGTTTTATTAGCTGGTCCACCGACTTTTCTACTGGCCAGCGAACCAGCATTAATTTCGACCCCTGAGTCTATATCCATCGGAATCCCGGGACAACTCATACCCAGGTCAACTCATGCCCCAGTCAACTTGTGCCTGAGTCAATTCGTACCCGAGTCAATTCGTACCCTTGTGTGTATTATTGTCATCAGTGGATAATCCTACCAATGGCTGCTTTACTCGCAAAGACTTAAGTCTTTAATTAATTTTAATTTATTAATTACGTTATACAATCCTCTCCTGCACTTTAGAAAAAACCCTTGTAAGTTGGGCCATCAGGCGAATCAAATCTTGTTGTGCGCCCGGAGTGCTAGCGCTGCACCAGGGCGGCCCGCCTGGTTTTCAGTTTCCTCCCGGGGGTGGCTTTGATCGAGCTCAAGTCCTACTCTGATCAGTATCCAATCCAAATTTTTGCACGGCACAATTTATGACATCATTGGCCTAATATGGAATGTAAGGGCGTGGCTGCTAGAGATTGGCAAACATAATGCTAAGTTTGAATATGCATAAGCACAATTGGAAGTAGGCCTAGTGAGAATTTAGAATTGTTGTAGAGCGAAAATGCTGTATGTTGCATGTTCTCGGTTGATTATTAGTGAAATCTCACCACATGCTTTTTTACAACCATCGCAAGATGTAGCACCATTGTAAGTTTATAGCACACGTGCTGAGCACCAGAGCGGCACCAGTGGGGCACAACTCGTTTCCCATTTTTCGTTGTATTTGCTTTTTTATTTTTTTATCACGTTTTCTTGCATGCATTCAGTGCGCTACCAATATTATTAAACGGAACATCTGAACCGACCAGTTTGGTTCAGTTCGAAAGTGCAATTAATGTTCAATGAGTTTGGTTTGGTTTCTTGGTTCGGCTGCAGCACTATTCTAACGTACAGAGTACGAGTTGTCCCGGGTACGAGTGGTCCAGGGTACGAGATGACCTGGGTACGAGTTGACTTGGGCAGGAGTTTGGGGGTACAAGTTGACCTGGGTACGAGTTATCCCGGGTACGAGTTGACCTGATTCCATCCATCGTCAAGGAATTTCAGAATGAACCATCATGGACTGCAAAATCAAGGAAAATACACTCAGAGACCATCACCAATGCATGCCACAGCCTCGCCCAGGACGTTGCATGCACTTGATGCTGAGAACCACATCGTGCATGCTTTATGTGCATATATGCAGCTCAGCAACTCCTACTCCAAATAGGCCTCGTTCAAGTAGTTTTTCCTGTCACCTCAAATGAAATGAGCTATGATTAGTCATTGGAATAGCAAAGTGGGCCAAGCTGTCGGTCAGTAAGGTACAGTTGACTCTCGTTATTACGAAATCGGCCATAACGAAATTCCGGTTATAACAAACACAAGTCTGTGGTCCCGGCGAATATGTGCACATTTCTATGGGGAAAAAATCTGTCACAGCGAAATCGCATTGTACAAAATTCCTGTTACAACAAGTGGTTTTCGTGACTCCGTTACCTGAAAAACTATCGTTGATGACCCCTTTATAATGAACATTTGCGAATCATTGTGGTGAAAAACATGTGCGCAGTGCATCACACTGGTTCCCGCCAGGCCGAACCATTGCCAAAGATGGCATGAGGGAAATGCGGCAACCAGTCAATGTACGGTTCCTGCCAAAAAAGGGTTGCCAACGTTCCACTACATGTACATGTACATCATATACGAATGCAGCTCTACAGTTGCAAGTCAAAAAACACTGCCATCACAAATTTTTCTGCAGGTTTATTCACAAAAATTGATCTCATGTCTATGTTTGTGTTTTCTGTGTTCATGTACATGTATTTAATTTGAAGATGTACTGCTCGTACTCGAAACGAGCGTGTTTCCACAAAATTTCCAGCCGCAGCACAAGGCTAATCGGCCGCCCCTCCAGATGCGTCACGCACGCTTACAACACGATACACGGACATCATTGGCCAGTTTCCTGTAGTCATGACAAGTGTAAAGCAGGATTCAAATATCAATGATTTTTTACATTGATTACACAAACATTAAAACACAAATTTCCTTCCCAGTTCCGATAAAAATAACAGCCAAATAAGTTTGCTTGACTACTTTCGCATCTCAAGAGCCCAACTAATCACCTAACTCTGAATTATTCATATTGCTGCAAAAGATCTAGCATACCCGCCAGTGAGACTGTGCATTTTTCATGACGTACATTTTGCAAGACACAGCTATCCAATTGCAATATTCCTTCATGACACCATGCTTCTTCAGTGACCATCTCGCACGCAGGCGGCCATTCTCGTTTCTTTTTTCTTTACCAACGGTGTAATGTACCTTTAACATGCAGTTCCTCATTGTGCTCTCTTTTTCTATTTATTTCAGACAAAAATGACAAAAAAGCTGTATGTCGGAAACCTTCCCTTTGACTGCACAGATGGGCAGTTGGAGGGACTATTTGCCAAGTTCGGAACCATCACAGAATGCAAGGTCATGGGAAGATATGCCTTTGTGGTAAAGTGTTCGTCCAAAGAAATGGTTCCACTTTGGATTTACCCCGGACACTTTGTCAGAATTTGCCAGATCCGTAGTATAAAATGTCGTCACCATTGGCAAATTGTCATGCCCTTGTGTAACATTGCAAAAAAGCTGAGTAGAGAAATTTCCAACGTTATGGAAATACTGGCTAAGGAAAAACAGGCTACCAGCTAAAACATCATTTATTGCGTAGCTCTTCTGACCGCTTCCGTGCCGATTTTCGCTCAGCACAGAAATTTTGACCCTACTCCTTTCTCCCCGATTTCTTGTGCATTATAAGTGTTTGATAAACAAAGGAATCTGACTTCAGTCCATTTCAGCAACTACCAACATGTTGAGCGAATTCATTTTCAAAGATAGGCAATTCAAAGAGGAATTTTTACTCATCTTGAACAGCACATGTCAACGGAGGCTGAAGCCAAAGACGCTGTGGACAATCTGGATTCCTACAATTTTATCGGTTCCAACCTGAATGTCAAGTATTCAACTGGAGCCAGCGCTAGAGGTGGGCATCGCAGCAGTGGGCCAGGTAACATCAAAGAATTTTGCTTATGTCAACTGTAAATCCCTCTTTATATTTGCAAGCAAACTCGGTGATTCTTCAAAAATCTTGTACCGTGCAATAAGCATTCTTTGTTAAACAAAACCCAGACATTTTTAAAAGGTTTTCTGATGTCAGCCTGATTCAAAAGTGATTGATTATTAGATTCAAGCCAGCCTGTAGATTTGAATCCAATGATATAGAACTGACTGTGTAACTGTTCCATTTATTTCTGTTTGTGTATTTTGTAGCAAAAACCAAGTTATATGTTGGCAACCTTCCCATGGACTGCACAGAAACTCAGCTTCATGAAATGTTTTCCAAATATGGGGAAGTTGCAGAATGTGATGTCATCAGAAACTATGGCTTTGTTGTAAGTATTGCACACGTGAATTCTTTGTAGTCAGTCCATTAATCGATATTGGAAATAGGATGCTGTCTGCCACCGTTTAGTAATTGCAGGGACACTTGTTTTCTGTAAAGGTGGTGCCCAGTTACACCTTTTGGTGTATGTGATGGGAGGATACGGAATCATGTCAAGCCGTTTAGCCCAGTTACACCTTTTGGTGTATGTGACAGGAGGATACGGAATCAT